AACATGCATTTTTTGCCGTACTTGCGAGCCACCGAAAAGGCCTTAAATTAGCCGGTCCGGTTATTTGTATTATATATGAATGCATACAATCACTTACCAAATTTGTGGGATACGTTTCATTCAGAAACATTTTCACAATGTAGAAACTGGGGAAAAACGGCGGATTTTCGTTGAGAATAGTGTTATAAACTTGTGTGTGAGCTTTCGCAAATGGCAGTCCAGAATTTTTCGTGGCATTCGTGGCATCATTTGAAATATTTTCGGTATTTTCATGGTGAATGGATTTACAAAGTGATAACGATCCCATCCAATAATTATTGCCATAAAAGAATCCGGATGTATAGTGTCCAGATGCATCATCCACTATAATATAAACGTATTAAATTAATGTTGTATGATATGAAACATAGTTATGTTTTGATATTCACACCCACTAGTGTTTTCAAACTAGTGAGTGAATAAATACTAATAATCTAATGACTTTTTATTTGAAATTAAATATAATTAAACTGATACAATTTTATTTAATTTAATTTTTGTAAAAATAAGAAATGAACTCTTTTTATTGAATAATATAAAAATAAATCGCCGTTTCTAGGTACTTTTGAACAAATATTTTTTTTATTGAAAATTAATTATAATAAAATTAATAATTCCATCGATGAAGACCTTCTGTGGTTTATAGGCTAAAAGCTTGGCCACCTGATTTTAAGCAGCTTTGCTTTATATGTAATTGCTTTATATTTGGCTGGAAAAACACAAGTGGCTATCGTTCGAGCCCTTCAACTTCTAAATATGAACAAATCATTTGTGTCTCGTGCCATTGCTCAACACCTTAATACTGGTAGCGTTGCTCGACGCCCAGGAAGTGGATCAAAAAACAGTAAAATGAAGAAGCGAATTGAGCGAAACCCACGCCGTAGCTGGAATCAAATGGCAAAGGAGCAGAATATATCGCGAGAAAGGATGCAGCACAGTTTTGAAAAATGAGCTCGAACTAAAGCCAGTGAAGATGAATAAAGTCCATGAACTAACCGATTAACAAAAAAAATTTTAGAGTCGAAAAAGCCAAAGCGTTGTTTCGTTTGCTCGAAGGTTGTGGGTTGCCGAATTTGGTTTTCTCTGATGAGTCACCATTCGTTAGTAAGCACTATTAAGCAGTACATAAACTAGCAAAATGTTCGCGTTTACTTGTTAGAGTGGTCAGCTGAAAGCTGGCGTCACCGATGGTGATGGTGTGAGCCATCATAACGGCCGACGGTCGCTCTCCGTTCGTGTTCACCAACCGTGCGATAAAAATAAATAGCTAAACGTATCGAAAAATTATATTAGAAGGAGCACTTAAGCCCTGAGCAGATAGCAATTCGGTCGGAGGCTTTGGACATTACAAGAGGACTTAGCACTATCGCACAAAGCATGCGGCAATCAAGAATGCCTTAAAAACAACGTTCCGTGCTTTATTCCATCAACACATTGGCCACCTTGTTCACTTGATACAAACCCTTTAGTTTTCTTGGTTTGGGGTATTTTAAAAAGAAAGTTTAGCACTAAAAAATATCAAAATATAGATTGTCTGAAGCAAGCGCTAAGCCGAGAATGGACCAAAATTCCCGAAAATCACTTGTATGTATTTTTAACTTTCGACTTGCGTCTGATAGCAACTGCAGAACAGTTTGTAGATAATGCTTCGTTCATCGCTTGAGAATACTAATATGTCACCAATTTAGTAAAATACAAAAGGTTAACCTTGAAAAATTTAATAGAAATAAGATTGAAATATCTATAATTCTATAATTCGATTATTACTATTACAAACTTAAACAGCTCTAATAGTTTGCTGCTAACAGTTTTTGAAATGTCATCTGGATTTTTCAAAAAATATATTGATTTATAGGTATTTTATTTGATATAAAATACCGTACAAATATTTTTTTGTTTAATTAAATATTTAAGTTTAATTAATTTATTTGCAACCTACCAAAAACAAAAAAAAATGCATTAGTGCTAACTATGCTAACAAATGCATACAAATACTGTACAGTTACAATGAAATCATAAAGTTTAATATATAATATATGATATTATATATTCTGTGCAGTTAACTTCTACTATACTTGGTAGTTCAGTTGTGGTGATTTCTTGAGTCTCCTAAGTTCTCGTTCGTTTTTACTAAGTTGTTTGGCGAAAATATTTGGGTAAGTTAGGAATTTTGCGCTGTACTTTGCATGGAAGAACATCCATCACTCATCACTCATCGTATATTAAGATCACGATGAATTTTATTATTGCTGACGAACCATGGTGCATTCCATATCATGAGGAATACCGTTGCTTGAAATCTTTGAGTGATTTTGATAACACTTTTTCCACCTGGATCCAACAATTGGATTCTGTACAGCAGCTGTAAAGCAGCTGCTTATATTTGACTTTTTTAAACTCAGGGATTTTCTTTTTGTTTTACCTGTTAGTTTTCGACCGAGATGTATTCCTAGATATTAAGTTGTATCTACTTATGGAATGGGGTTGTTGTTAAATATAATAACAGTGCAAATTGTGTTTTTGAGGGCAAGGTTACGTGCAATGATTTATATTCGTTAGCCATTTCTCCATTCATTTCTGCCAGGGACCATAACAATTGTCATTAAAAAAATAATAATCAACTAAAAACTCTTATCATTCGCATTTTAAAATAAAACTCAAAAAATAATAATTTAATTTGCTTTACACTATATTTTTCAAAATAATTATTATTATGTGCCTTTTATTTTTCCACGCACTAATAACTCTTACACTCTGCTTATTATTTTCAAGCGCACAAATAACTGTTATTTTTGCCTTAAAAATATAAAAATCAGAAATAACTCTTATTTTTTAGAACAAAATATTACTCACACGTCGTGCCTGAGTATAAGAAATGTTTTTGTAATTTCATACAAAAGGTTTTTGAAATAACTGTTACATTTGGTCCATATTTCTGCATTTCCTGAGATCTGCTTGTAGATATTCTGAGGCAAGTATTATGTAACGAGAGTAGGGTCATACATTAAAAAGAGAATTAAAACAAAAAAACGCGGTTTTTTTTTGGGAACGGTTATTCGGCCAACAATAAAAGGAGTTACATAATATTTATTAACCAACAAGAAGTAGTTCTATTATCGGAGAATTGTGATGATTTTGTAGATTTATTTCTGAAGTCAGTCGACCAACCTCCTCGGTAGTAAATATTTCACTTTGGAAGACGCTGGAAGAGCTTGTAGGATTAAAATATCTTCTCATGTTCTCTTCGAAACTAGAAGTTTCTCTATTCGAAACTTCTCTATTAAATACCACAGTTATTGTTAAAGTAAAAATAGTAAACTTCTGTCATATTGACGTTAAAATTAAACTTAAAATAATTAATGGTATTATAATTTGTCACATTTTGTCACAAAGCGGGCGACTCCTCCGCGATTCGTGTTACATAATACAATATTTGAACAACGTCTAATATGTTATATATTGTATGTGGCATATATTTTTAAATTTTGTCAAGAATAGTATAATAATAAACTTTTTATTTATTATTAAAATTTTATTTTCTTTCAAAAATAAAGGACGTATCACATAAGTACACATAGTAGAAAAAGTCTACGGATACCCACAAAATATTTCTTAAATTTCGCATAAATTTCGCATTTCGCATTAATTTTTACTTAAATTGATTTTTGTTTTCTGATTTATTTTAACCAAAGAAACAACAATAAAGTTCAAATATAAAAAATTAACAGTTATTCTTTAAAAAAAAAATTAAACACAATTATATGCAAAACCAACAATTTTTTAAGCAGAAAAAGTCTACGGATACTTCTTAATATTTACATTTTCCGTTAATTTAAACTCGCTTGCAAGCATAAACATGTCATTAAATGATATTTAATTATCAGTTGATTTCCTAAAGAGTCTAAAAATTAATCCATTAAAAATATTTTGTTATATAAACAATAAATTTTTACAATGGAAAATAAAAGACGTGAAATTAGTTTTAGTGAGCGACAAATAACTGTTAAATTTTGGAAAGATGACGTAAGCCAATGAAAAATTGCTAAAGATATTGGTCGTCAATATTCATTTGTGCAAAAAATTATAAATAACTTCCAAAAGACGAGTACTTACGTTTCTAAACCTCGCACTACCCGCCCCTCAATTCTGTCAAATAGAGAAAGACGTAGCATAATCAACCAGGTGAAAGTAAATCCTAGAGTAACAGCCTTCAAACTAGCTGAACATATTGCCAAAATACTTGAAAACCAAATATGTTCTGATAATTTACGGAAAATTTTAAAGAAATGCATGTATTATACCCTGATTGCAGGAAAGAAGCCATACATATCCAGATATAATAGAATAAAATGATTAAGCTTTGCAAGAAAGCATATAAATAAACCTATAAAGTTCTGAAAATGAGTTATTTTCTCCGATGCGAGTTAATTTTGCGAATTTGGAATCAAAGTTAGAAAACTTATATGGACAAAGCCTATGATACAGCCTATGATAAACAAAACTCAACTTTAACAGTAAAACGTGGTGATGAAGGCGTAATGATTTAGGGGTGTATAGCAAGTAATGGTGCTGTCAGACTTAAATATGTACAAGATACAATGGAGAAATATGGGTATCTAAATATTCCAAAAACAAATTAGAAAGAAAATGCCAGAATGTTAGGACTCGAGGCAATCTTTTTGTTTCAGCAGGACAACGACTCTAAGCATTCCTACAGCAGCAATCGTGCGGATTTAGATGCTGTACTATGCTCAAACACTACCAGAATCACCAGACTTTAGTAGTATAGAACATCTGTGGATTTATTTGGAAAATAAGTTTCGCCAGCATATGTTTTCCAGCAAGGATATAGTAAGAAACGTCATCAAGGAAGAATGGCTAGAAATAAACGCACAGAATACTCCAAAGCTGGTTAAGTTCATGCCACAAGCTATTAAATTTAAGATTTCTGTGAATTTTAATTTAACAGCTGTTCAAACAAATCACTGAATAGGTTGGAGGGCCGCAGAAATACGTACGTTCATAATTTTGTCGGAGAAAAATAAAAATACAGTGATAATGATAAATTTAATTTGATTAATTCGTCATTAATTTATCTTTTACAATTCAATACGAGTATTAATAATATTAGTTGTTCCATACGAAAATATCTTATTTTTAATATAATATATAATATAATGCACTGGATATGAGTTTTTTGAACCAGTTGTAGAAAGAAATATATACTAAAATCTTTGTGAATTAAGTAAATTAACGAGAAGTTTAATAAATTATTTAAAAATTTTAAATTTATTTCATGTAACAAAGAAATATTTGCCTAATTG